TCTCTCGCTGCCGCTGCCCTCCTTTCTGCCAAGGAGGGTCGCTGTATACCTTAGAGATCTCTAGTCAGATCGTTCCAATTCCTAAAAGTTGGGTAGTGGGAAAATCACCACAAACCACGAGCCCTGCGTGGTATCTATGAACATTCCCAACCTCCCTCCCCCCGCTTTCCGGAGGGTTGCCCATATTTGCTTCGGGCGCAAAAAAAAAAGTCTGTGAGATCCATTTGGAACCGAAAATTTTCTATTTGAGATTTGTGATAGCGCCATCTACTACATGCTGTAGGTAATAAAGTCATTTTATGGAACTAAAACTTATTAACTTTCAAGGTGGTAAGAACAATCGACGCTAGATGGCATAAACACAAAAACCTCAAGTTATCATATATTTTAAATATGTAATAAATTTGTTTATTCTTAAATTTCATTCCTAACAATACACAATTTCATTTTACTTTACATGTCTAAAAATAGGGATTGTAACATTTATTTGCTACGAAATTAAACTTTTACCTATCTTATATAAGATGGTTGAAAATTATCATTAAATAAATCGTTTACCATGAAATCTTTTGAAGTGTTATTTTTAGTAAACTCTACGAAATGATATTTTTAACTCATAGATTTAACAAATAAATATAATAAAATGTAAAATGATTTTTAATTTAGGTAACAATACTATAATAAAAAACCCAATACTCCTGATACTCTGCAGTTTTCGTATATATGCTCCGCTAGGAGTAATGGTGTTCTGTGTATATATTACTCTACTCTATGCTCTGCAATCTGCATTGTTAATTCGATTCGCCTGTTTATTCAGATCATTCGGGATTCGTTCGGTTTGCGGCTCATTCACAATTCAAACAAATCGCGGGTTAAAAAGGTACCGTCAATTGTTTGTGATTGGTTGTACTGGTACATTCAAAAACAAATGAATGAACCATCAATACTTTTAAGTGTACCAGCTCAAACGAACGAATCATGCATGATTGACACATGTCTACTATCTTTTATGAACTATAAGTCCTCACGGGGGACAACGCATCTGCACTTTGATTCATAATCGAGGATAGATGCAGATGTCTATGGGCCACAGCAACCACTTACTATCAGGTTTCTGTATATATTACTCTACTCTATGCATCAGGTGGACTGTGTGCTCTTTTGTCACCCTATCCTATAAAAAAAGTTGTCAGTACTAACACAGGCGTGTTATGGTTATGCGGCGGCAAATCCCACGAAACCGGCGCGAAAGTGAAAATCCCTTACATTTAGAGGATATTGTACCTTTACAGAATTACAAAAAATATTGTTACGCGCCGAAGTCGACGGCACTAGCGCCATCTAGTCTCGAACCGAAGAAATAAACTTCTTGAAGTTGAAACTCGAACTCTCGATACCTTGCGCGTGTTTACTTGAATATTCTGGATATTTCGCTGCTAATTTATATTTATAGGCGCTGCAAGATGCGATTGGGGAAGTATTGAAGTTGGCGACACAAGCGAAGCTTCGAGCGGAATTAAGTGAATCAGTGTGATTAATTATTAGTGTTTTAAGTTTTAATTGGTGTAAAGAAAATTAAAGTGTAATTTAGGTATTTCTATCAGCAATTTTTATTGTCACGAACCTCAAGCTCGTAACAATATGTTTAGCGAGCTCGTAGGTGTACTTTGGTCGTCTCTTCAAAAACAACGGCCGTACGGACTTTCTGTGGAGTTCCAAGGGAGTGTCATCATGTAATTGATGAGCGGGATTGGATTGGAGCTTGCTGAATCACATTTAACATGGGATTTGTCAGTACCAGAAAACAGGCGTGTTATGGTTATGCGGCGGCAAATCACACGAAATCGGCGCGAACGTGAAAATCCCTTCCATTTAGAGGACAGTCTATTCCGTAGCTAGAGATACAAAAGATATATTTACCGAGCTGTTAGGTGTACTTCGGCCATCTCTTCAAAAACAACGGCTGTACGGACTTTCTGTGGAGTTCCAAGTGAGTGTCATCATGTAATTGCCTGTATATCTTTAAAAAACTAACACTTTTTTTCGTTTGTATTAACTTTTACTTTAATTGTGCAGTGAGGTTGCAGTATGAGCCAAAGCTGTTAATGAAAAATTATTGAGAAAACATATAAAATTCTCTATGACCCATGAAGAGTGGTGAGCAGCTAAAGAAAAATTTAGATATGGCCTACAGCTAACCGGATGTGATTGAAGCTATAGACTGCATACATATAAAACAATTTTTATCTCCCAAGTTGCATTAAGAGGCATATATGGGTGGCCAACATGAGGATCATTCACTAAATGTACAAGCTATAAGTATATCTTCAGTTAATGTTTACTTATTTACCTACTTAAAAACATTAACAAATTATTTTATCCTTATTATTGTCTGTAAGAAAAGTGTTATTGTCAAATTTAAGTTATACTTATTAGTGTTAAGAGCTTAGATTATAATTTTAATGCGAGTTTTTTTAATATGGTAGAGCCTTTCTGCAGCTATATTATGGGTGTTGCTTGAATGGGTTGGCTCGACTAGGGTGGGACAAACCTTTCACAGAATAACCAGTATAAAACAGCAACTAAATGTTGCTGTATTTTGTATGGTGAGTGTAGAGAACCGGAGACTCATTTTACTGTAAATGAGGCATTCCATCTTCATTCTCAGGGGTTGCTACGCATCTGCATTTTGATACTTAATCGAGGATAAATGTAGATGTGTATGGGCCACAGCTTTCACTTACCATCTGGTGGACTGTGTGCTTGTTTGTCACCCTTATTTTATGGAATTTATTAATATAATACCATTATTTTAGGTATGTGACACAGACTTATTATGGTGACATTAAGGCAATGGGGATCACCATACTGGTTTCTTGGTAAGTTAAAGGTTATATATAAGAGAATATGTATAAGACTGCAAATGAAATTGATATGTTTAATCTTTAAGGTGATGATGGATATTCTCTGGGACCATGGTTGATCCCATGACCCCAATGAAATATAAATGTCTTGGGAGCCAGAAACACATAGAAAGATGCTTTAGTGTGGTATTCTGTTTTTAGGTGCCCATCTCATCAAGACCAGTTAATGTACGAGACATACACTGCTGGCCTAATAATCACTGCATGTGCAGTGCTACACAACATGCATATTAAATTAAGATTGATGCAAACAAATGTCAAATGTTTTGATTGTTTTTTTGCATGATAATACACTGTGATTCGGCATTTTTGTCAGAGCTCAATTGACTAGCATGATCACTTACATAATGGCGCACGACACTGAGCAACTAGTTTTATATAACGGCTATTAGTCGGACTCTCACATCTTTTACAGAGGGGTATGCCTTGCGATGCTGTCTCCTTTGGTTTAATACTCAGTTTGTATTTGAAAATATTTTAAACTAATAGACTATGTATATAATAAATGTATTAAAGGTAGATGGATAGATAGTTTTACTTTTATTTCCTTTTTATTAATGTCTTAGTAATATAGTAATTAAAGAGTAAAATCATTTTTATTGAATATTTGTTTTATTTTTCAATTAAATCCACAAATTATAAAGAAAACTAACACTTGCGATTTCTGAATTTTTCGTCTGTTGGCCTAAAATATCCGAACTTTTTAAAGATTAACTAAATTTTAAAAAAGTTAGGTATTGTGTACTTACATGAAAACTATTTGTGGATATGTGGTTAAAAAGTAGGAAAAGGTAGATACAAGTTAAATTCCGTTTTATAAATGTCTTAAGTATTATAGTAATTAATTTGTTTTAATAGACAAAAATATTTTTTATTGAATTTTCACTTTTACAATTAAATTTACAAACTATTTACTTAATAAAAATGAACAACTTCTTCTACATTCAATTTTCAACATTTAACATCTGTGAAAATGTTAGTAATCTTATTAATTAACATTACTAATATTCCTTTTAACCACTCCTGGTAAGCTTGAAAATGCTTGTGTTAGGATTGGTTCACGACAGTAGTCAAATGGCAGATTCAAACCCACGACCTTTTGAGTTCGCAATCTGCGCCCTGCCATTAGGCTACTGTTGCTTCTTTATTTGCACCCACATCTCTGAAGTTATTGAAAATACTTGCATTATGCAGTTGATAAGGAGACCGACGAGCCACATCATTCATAAATTTCAAACTTGAACATTTAAACAAAAGTAACATTTGTGATTTCTGATTTCTTCACCTGTTAGAGAGCCTTAAATATATAAACATTATTAGTACCAACATCACAGTTACATGAAGACTATTATGTGGATGAGTGGTATAAAACATAGAAAGTAGTTATATTATTTAAGTTCTTTTTATAAATTTATCAGTAGTATTATAGTAATTAATGTGTATTTTTAACAGAGAAAAATCATTTTAATTAAATATTTGTGTTATTTTTACAATTAAATTCACAAACTCTTAAATTTCTAATTTATTCTACATATTTTTTTTTAATCTGTAATGTTAGTTAAGGGAGTTATTTGTCCAATGAGTGTCAGCGTTTCTATGTCATAAAATAATTATTTGTTAAATCACTTCTTTGTATTGTAGAAATAACATTAACAAGTACATTATTGAGGCATTGTACTATTGCCGATAGATGGTAGTTCTAATTTATAGGGGATTTCTGAGAGATTGTGATTTCTGCAAATATTATGTAGGACTGTAGTTGCTATTATTATTGCCATTACTATTACTGCCTGCATTTTGTTATTGGCAAACATAGTGTAAGTGCAACAACAAAGAACTTACATTTCCATACTGCAAATGCTCTGTAATACAAATAATTTGTTTATTAAACACCAGTATTCCCATAACACATTTTATCTAGTACATAATACTGTTTTATTTAACATACTGTTCAATTGTATTTCTAGTTTTAATGTGTGCTTCATTGTACCTATGTTCAGCTTCAGAAACTGAATTTAGAACAAGTGTTTAATATGGCCTTTTTGGATAGGCACTATCTTCAAGTAACCAGTGATTTCAAAATTGGCCTGCATCACATTCAGCTGTTATAAAAATAAAGAATTTAGGCTCTGTTAGTAAATATTGAAATTTATTGCAATTTTAATACATATTATTTACACCCACCTCTCAGAATAGAGTTATTAATTATAGTTGCATCATGCATATAACCAGGCCAACAAGCTACAACATTTATAAATTTCCAGTCTGCGTCACAAACCCCTTGAACATTTAAAGAAAAATAACCCTTGCAATTTCTATATTCTTCACCTGATAAAAGGCCTAAAAAATTTTAATATATTTAAACATTATTATGAGCAACTTCATAGTTTATTCATATTTGCCAAAATTTTAAGAAGAGTTAAGTATTGTTACTTACATGGAGACTGTATGTGGATATGTGTGCCATCAATTGCCCCAAGCACACAAGGAAATCCAGCAATTCTGTATAATTTGTCTGCATTCCTTTGATGAACATAAATATATTTATTATATAATTGGGCAATTATTGATGATGTATCTCTTACTATTCTGCCTGCTGTGGATTTTGACACTCCAACAAAATCTGCTACGGATATCAACATTGTGCCTAGTACATAAAACCGTAGGGTCAACAAAAGTTCATGTAATGGTGATAATCTGATCACCGTCATCAAGACTGCGTATAATTCATTCTAATGATTCTCTTTGAAGAGCGGCGTTGGGTTTTATCTTTATCACTTGAGGCAGAAAATTGAGCTATAATTTCAAAATCACTGTCAATAGATAGTAATGTTAAATCCATTTTAATAATACAAAACAAAACACGTAATAGGTGGGAACTAGAAGGATTAATCCTAAAAATCCTTTTAGGCCTTTCTCGGATTGCGAATTTGGATGGGTGCGTTTGGCAGAAAAAAGCGCTAGCAAGCGCTTGTAAGCAAAATGGCGATCGTAAGCGGTAAGCGCTGTCAAATCGTAAGTAGCTATTTTCTTCCAGGACACGATGTTAGTTTTAACCGGGGAATCTAACCTAATTTAAATATATGTTTGTAAAGTATTCATATTAAAAACTTACCAATCATGAGTTTTTAATAGCATGTATATGTTTATTCATTTCATTATATTACTTAAAACTAATATTGCACAAAACAACTTATAAACTCTACTTCAAAACAAACAAATTAAATAAGCAAAATGGCGGATTGTGTCAGCGCTACTGAAGTAGCAATCGTGTCCTGGCCGAAAACTATTTTAGCGCTTATAAGCGCTTGCTAGCGCTTTTTTCTGCCAAACGCACCCGATGGTTTACACCGATTGAACCAAACGTCAAAAATTGACAGGTTATTGATACACACAAACTGTCATTCTCCCACAGTGGTCTATTTTTCTTTTTTACGTATATTTTATTTACTTGTCCCGTACGGGATTCGAATCCGCGGCCCTTAGCGCTGTAACTCATTGCTTTATTATCTAAGTAATAATGTGTGAATTGCACTGACCTCGTGATACACCGTGACATGATGAAGCAATTTGATTTCCGCCATTTTGGCGCTGACAGCAGAAGTGCACGTCCACGGAACTAATAATAGGGATAAGACAGTGTACCAAATTATATCGATAAAATTTTATACCCTACCATACCTAAATAAATAGAATGGACTCTATGGATGGACGACGTAACGTCCATTCTATTTATGTATCATATTAATATAATGCCATTATCATTCATCATCATTAAAACCCTTCACAAGTTCACTGCTGAACATAGACATCTCCCAAGGAATGCCAGAAAGCACGGTCCTGAGCTACCTGCATCCATCAACTTCCTGCATGTCTTACCAGGTTTTGACTCCATCTAGTGGGAGAACGTCCTACACTTCACCTGCCGGTTTGAGGCTGCCACTCGAGAACCTTTTTTCCTCATCGGTATTCGGTTCTTCGAGCTATATGGCCGGTCAATTGCTACTTCAGCTTACTAATCCAATGGGCGATGTCGGTCACTCTGGTTCTGCTGCAGATATACTTATTCCTAAGTTTGAACCCCCGAGCATAGCCCTCTTCATAGCTCACTGAGCGACTTCGAGCTTCCTCATACGGCTTTCCAGCTTCGGCAGTGCCACGTATTCTGGGGGACTTGACGTATCGCAATCCATGCGTTCTTGATCGAACACTTGATCAACTTTTTCGGTGAATGTTGCGCGAGAGGAAGCTGCCAAAAACCGTGAATGTAAACGATGGCCAGAATTTGTAAATAAGAAAGAAAATAAATTAGGGCCACTACGACGTTAAGACGCACAAATTAAATTTTGAGACTCGAGAGATAATTAAATATCTAGACTCGCACTTACTAAAACCCCATAGTGTTCTACCTCGGCCGCAAATTGGCAGGGCCACGGAAACGCTTTCATGCACATTCGCGGCCCCTCCGGCGCCAGTCGCCCAATGGCAGCCCCTCCTTAGTTGCTGACTTCTCCTCCCCGTTTTCATTCTCAGATAAGGCGCACCAGAAACAAGCCACACTACCCTTCGCGTCCTCTAACTCCACCTGAACTACGGACTCCCCGAGCCCGATAAGTGAATGGAGCCAGGGAAAAACGAGCACTTGGAAGCAAGAAGTGGTGCAGCCTCACCAAAGTCGCGAAAGATAGTCAAGTGGCGCATCACCAATCGCCATACCAACACTCCTCTTCTCTTACGACTCCACCTCGACTACAGCGGTACAGGGACAGGAATCTCCTCTAGCCGTAGCCCACTAAAATACATACAACGTGGCTCGACATCATCAGGCGACCTTTCGACACCTGGCTAGGGCCCTTGAGTTTGGTGGAAAATGAGGAAAGAAGAAATAAAAAAAGACATTCGAAATAATAATCTAATACATTTATACTTACTGGTACTGGTACTACCAGAAAATGTTGTCGGTATACTGCACTTTTTCAAAGTGGTGCAGTTCTCATGTCTAATAAAACAGTCGTCTGTGAAATGTTTGGAACAAATATGATCATTTTGTTTCGGACGCTAATTCACAATATGTATGCTCTTAAGCCTAATTAATAAACATTTGGTAATCTTCTGTTGTTGGCGACTTTGTTTGTTAACAGATATGGGTAGGAAAGAACATCGATAAGTATTATAGACAAGGAACTCGACAACCATATTGAATTTTATTGTTTATCAAAACTCACTAATATATAGCCAAAGATGTTGGTATATATGTGATATTAAGATTAGTAACAAATTTTTAAGTACTTACATTATTAAATAGTTTTAATTTATTTAATATTTGCTGCAAATTCACTTACTTGTGAAATGTTATACCACTTCCATTTTGGTAACGAGTTTTACAGATTATGCACTCTCATTATTAATAAAAATAATTTTTATTATGTAACTAATATTATACACCATCAAACAATATAAAATACTATCGTTTTTTAGTTTAAAAGTTCAAAATACGGACTTATTAAATAAGACAATATCAATGAGACAACAGACTTTGACATATTATGTCAATTTTATATTTCAAGACACCTTTAGCGGCGCTTCAAATTGGCACAGTATTTTCTATGGTATAGCCAGTCCAGCGTACTTATATATATATATATATATAGAGGTCAGTGGTGAATTGAAATAAAACATTAAACATCTCAATTTATTTATAATTTTTATTTTAAAAAAAAGTAAGGCATCACCTTTTTTATTTCCCAAATAAAAGAGTTATTTGCACTTTGGCTGCCTCCATTTGCATTTTGGTAGCCCCTGCTTGCAGTTGAGTTGTAGCTACCAGCATCTGTAATGAAAATACAGATAGATTAAAAAATACTTGCTAATTCTCTACAGTATGCTGGTTAGCAAAGATTTTTGTTTATTACTTAAACTAAAAATTTTCAACTCCTGTTGGCTCATGACCAAAATGGCGGGAATTGCAAATTTTTTGCTAACTTTCAAAGAAGAATGCCCACTTCCCATACATTGATTGACCTGTCACTTGATTTGTTTTACAGGGCGCGTCTACATACAAGTGCTGTTGCATAAAATCAATTATTGTATATAATAACATAATAACTTATTACCTTTTCATTTAGAGGCCAGGGAAAAATGCTATTAAGTAAATAAGTTTTTCAGGTTATGACAGCTGTCAAACCTTATTTGACAGCTGTCGCAACCTCAAAAAACTATACGTTTATAATCAAATTGTTTCTTTCAGGTATACAAAAAAGTACTCTGTTATTGTTTCTTAATCGCCGAGAGAGTTACAATCACTCAGAAATAAATCCCTCTTCAATGTAATATTATCATCTGTGCGCGGTCACAAATAGCAGTTACGTTTTCGTAATATCTCGCCTATGTTGATTTTTAGACTACACTTTATGCAAATTAGAACAATATACGTATAGTTCATTTAATTATCGGTCAAAATCTGTCGTCGTAACAGATTGACTCAAGGAGTCGTCCTGACAGGCGACGCTTTCTGCCATCGAACTCTAAAAGTCTGATGAACAGAGAAAGAGAGTAAATAATACCTAATATAAGCATAATAATACGGCCCCACTGCTGGGAAAAGACCTCTTTTTCATACAGAGAAAGCAGCAGCATTAATCACCAAGCAGAGTCAAGATGAGTTGGCAGTTTCAGACTTTTATTTTGATTATTATACTTCTACCATATGATTATTGAGTTCAGGTTGCCTCACGATGTTTTCCTTCCCCATTGTAAGATAAACTTAGAAAATACGTACCTACGCATTGAAAGACACACATTGGTACTTGCCTGAATTTGAACTCACAGCCTGTGCATAAGAGGCGAGTTGTAACCTATGGGCCATCACAACATTAATAGATAACAAAAAGAGCTACCTTTTCTACATGTTTTTGGCGAGAACAGGGAAATTAAATAAAAAACACGATTTGATTTATTTTTATTTATTCATTGTCTTCTCGTATGACCACTTCATCTAAAAAATGCAGCTGGAGGCTCAATATTGGTTTCATGCCTGGCCCAACCCAAGTACCACACCATTGTCATAATATGCGCACAACAACCTACAGTGCGACGTCCTACAATGCAGTTACAGCAATACTCTACAATGCCTTCTCGTCCATCAACACCATTTGCAATCAAAATGTACACATAGTACTGACGTCTTGAGATATGTCTAGACTTTATTTTTCCTTTTATAAGTGAATTTTCCCCACTGCCTAACTCAGGTATATTATTAGTATCCTGACAAACTTCTATCCTGTATCCGCCATGGAAACGTACGTGTTCACTATAATATGAACGCGCTTGGCGAATTTTGTACGCTTCCCAGGCGAATAATATTAATTCACTGTATTCTAGACGGGGAAACTCAATATTAGCAGTATCAGCTGTAATGCTTTGAAAAAAGGATGCCCGGCGATTTAAATTATATTCTGTAACTATATTAATTAAGTTATTTTCCAAGGGCATCCTTTCATTTATTATACCAAGAATTTGAGCAACATCAGCTCTATTGCGAAGACGAACACCAAACTTATTTATTAAACTTGCAGCAATTTAGAAATAAACCATCATATTTGGTACAGTTTTATTAAAATTGTCAAACCTTAATAATCTAAAATCTCTTTTAAAATATCCATTTACAACCTCCACCACCCATCTGCAAATAGTTACACATCTACTTCTATTTGCTTGGGTGGTGGTTAACTGGTGTTCACCTTCCAAAAGTGACTCTGGCATATATGCCTTATAATTACAATGCTCCAATAAGCTGATGCTGTCTCTGAATCCCCTGTCTAAAATAAATATGTCATTATCTTGAAAGTATTGTCTCAGTGGGGAATTTTCGTTGCTGAACAAAGAAGACATTATATCGGCATCAGATGTGGTAGCTTTGTATGGGCCAAAACAATCTAAAATGTAACCGTCACAGGCAACTATTAAAAATGGCTTTAACAGATTTCTATATTTGTGTAAAGAATATGTGTCTTTTTGAAACATATAATTGCCACTTTTATTTAAAAAAATGTATGTTCCATCACACATCACAATACATTGTTTATTATTTTCATTGTAAATTCCATTCGGAATGATTAGATTGTGTTCTATTAATTGTTCTCTCGGCAAGTGATTTATTCCAAGGTTACATGGAACAAAATCCTGTAGCAGTACCTCTCGTGCTGTTTGCATTAACCTCTCTAGTGTAGTACGAGGAACTTCTAGCAATGTTGATATTCTTAAGTCGGAATCACCTGTCCGCATCTTCATCAATACAGCAGCTAGACCTAATACACACCCCTATGTTTTTCCAACAGTCGGGGAAGGTCTTCTAACAAATTAAGGAATTTCAATTTTGACAAGCCAATCCAAAATTCAAATAAATTGTCGTCAATTTCTTGTAATGATTCTATGCTTGAAAAATCGAGAAAATGCTTGTATTTTTGAACAAAGGAAAAAACATGCTCAACTTGTTCAACAGTGAAATCGCTCATGCTGTTTTCACTGGTATAAAGGGAACTCCAACTGTTTCCATGTAAA